CAAAAAAATGCATATCGCGGACAAGTCTACGAATGTTGATAGCCTCGTCCTTGCTGCTTCTGTGATTAATGTTTCAATATTTGCCTCTTAACGTGCTACTAGAGTGGCATCTCGACTCGAAATCGCGTACTTTTTTCCCTTTTTGCGTGTGTCCATTCACTATGGGGTTCGGTTCCCCGCGATGCCCGCTCTTTCTACCAAGATGACAGGCAGGCATCACCACATTGTCTCAGTAGCATTGTAAAGCACCAATGACACACAGTCATTCACCACGACGTTAGAGACCTAAAAGGCATGACTATATGACTAACTATATCTCTATGACATGACTAACTATATCTCCATTCTCCCGGTTTTCATCCGAAGAATGAGGATAATACTACGGTCTTATCAACAAGGATATGAAAGTAAAGTTACCGAAGTGCGGGGAAATTTTGTGAGGGGGGGGCAACTTCCAAGGGGCACTACAGTGGAGCGTGAACCCTCCCACGACCAAATCCTGAAGCCCCCAGTGGTACGCCCCCCAAAAAAAGTATGGAGCGGTTTTTGTGGAGTGCACTGTAGCTGTGGGACATCCATGGCTTGACCTTTGCCCTGCGCAGCACGAGGCCAATTGCAAGAAATTCACATTCACTCACAGTTGTTTGCATTGCGGTGTTTGCGCCCATTTCACCAGCATATTACAAGAACATTTGGAACCAAATAGTCCAGTGCTTAGATTGTTATATCTTAGGGACATGTACGAATACAACCTTGAATTTTGAATGTACCCCACTGTAATACAAATTTTTAGACTATCTTTTTCAAACAGCTGATGTAGTTTTGGAAACCAGGTTCCATATTGTGGGGCCCAGCCAAATTTTGCGGTATGGGGGGGGGGGGGGGCAGCCCAGGGTTGCGGGGTGCTAAGACCAATATGGGGGCAGCTTCACATTGACGGGAGGAGGTACAACTTTTGTTGTTGCTTTTTTGTTGCAACTTTTTTTAGTTTTGACGCTGGTGTGACCGACCGGTGATAACCATTTCCTTACCTCTTTTGTGTCTCCATCTTCCGCTGCCAATGCGCCTAGGCGCTGCACGCCGCGGCACCGCCGGGCCGGGAGGTGCCAGGCGGGGGCTCTGTCTGGAGACGTCGCCTTGAACGCCAAGGGCCGGGCCGTCACGTGTTTTCCGCTCAACTGGCTGCAGTCTGCTTTAGATGTCTGCCAACGCTCGTCCCCATGACCCACTTTGGCGAGTTGACCGGCGCTGGGGCGCCTGTGAGGACGCTGCTCTCATGAAGTGGGGAGATGCCGTCTTGTCGCCAGCGATTCGAGAGGCCCGTCACTAATGGCCTTCTGCTACGCTGTTAATTGGAAGGGCCACTCGCTAATGAGGCTTTTGTAAGGGGGGGGGGGACGCAGCCCCCACCTCCACGCGTGTGACCCCCGGAATCAGCCCATCGCAGGGGCTCCGCCTCCGACTCCAGTGACCCGCTATTGCCGAGATATTTGTTTTGCATCGCGAGACCCAGTCACGAGCGGTTAGCGTCCAGTGGCGCCTGGCTCATAACCACGGGCAAACATAGGCCAGATTTAAAGCGTGCAATGAGCAGTAAAGGCGTGGTCCGTATGTGGGCCAACTAGCCATGCTTCAGTAAGGTTTGGCCATCAACATGAGATGCATGTGAGCAGTTGTAAGCGCCATTTTAATCGTGGTATGTCGGATGTAATCGAATTAGGGTTACCAACGTACTGTTTTAGTTCGTTAAGTCATGTAGTGATAAACTACCAGCTGCTCTCCTGATTCAAATCGTGGCTTGCATTTTGCCAGCAGTCTGTCTTTGATATGTGATAATAAGTGACTTCAAAGTTCAAATATACTGCAGCGCTAACACCGAACGTTTCAATGCTTCATGCAACGTTTTCTAACAACATAATGTAATGACGCCTTAGACTGCTCCAAATCATAATACTTAATGCTCCTACACTCACGAGACATGGTGCTATGATTGTATTCCTTTGACAAGACGCACATATTTGTGACTGTGTGTAAGGTATATTATGAATGTGTGTGTGATTAGGTTTTAGCTGGTGTATGATCGTACATTCATTGTTTTTAAAACTGGACTGCTTCCGCAATTGAGTTTTTGCTTGTGGATTGTCAGCACTCTAAATAAAAATGAACAATGAACAAATGAGAAACAAGCTGCTAAATTCTTAACACCAGCGACATAGAACACTCTACTAGAGCCCTGTTACATTCAAGTTATAAGCAATATACGATATTAACTTAGATGCAACTTCATATAGGCTATAAGATGCAGAAGTCTTCGTCTCGTCTCATAAATAGCAAATATCACTAGCATGATGCAGCCAGATGATCACATAGGTTGCAATCTGCTACCGTGTAAAAATGTGAAATGCCATGTTACTAATGCTTAGGCTTTTTGTGTTACATTCTTTATTCTCCAGTAGCAGTTTAATCTATCTCCCGTCATGCAGGGACCATTATTTTACTATCATTCTCAATCATGTAAGCTGCTGAAGAAGTTATTCGTCGCCTGGTGTGGTAACAGCTGGCAAAGCTTTAAAGACATGTGGGGGGGGGGGGGGGTCCCTGCGGTGGGCGTCGTGGCGACTACCTGGCCGCCGCTGGATGTTGTACGCCGCCGGCTGCCGCTGTCACGCCTTCCCACAAGACCGAATATAATGAGGAGCTCATTGGTCAGCATACGAGCCCGATGATGTTCGCGCACGGCTCGGCACGTTGTGGCTCCGGTACACCCGACACCAACACACACTCATGTGGGCCACAGAGCTATGATAAAGCGGGTGACCGGGTCATTGGCGGGATGGCGGAACCGGTCAGGCACCATGAACGACTGTCTCCCCGCCCATGGCTGTGCGCCCTCAACCACGGTACCCCTGACAGCGTCAGTTAAATGCATCATTCAACGACTGGATCTTTGGACGTATGCAGTGTCGACATAAAACCGTTCTGACACCCGTGGCAGGACACAGGGACAGGCTAGCCGCATATTGGCATCGCCCCTGCCAATAAGACCCTCCCGCCCGGCGGTAAGGTCACGTGGTTACAACATCTACATCCGGCACCATATAGCCCGAAGATACGAACAGGCAAGGGCATTATGCCGCGTGCGCTGGAGTGGCCATGATTGGCACGGCGGGAGAAGCTGTTTAGTAGGCATTATGGAGTAAGGCGCAGACTACTGATTTTTAATGCAGCTAGTTGAGAGGGTCTTATGAATATCAGGAAATGCAGTGTATGCATGCCTTTGTAGCGATATATATATATATATATATATATATATATATATATATATATATAATATGTGCGTTGGAAACAGCAAAGTTTGCCCATTTACACCAAGCCAGACGTCAAACAAATCTGAACATCCAACGCCACGGCT